GCTATTGTGAACAAAGCCGCGATGAACATGGGTGTGCATATATCTGCTTGGATGTCAGTTATGGTCTCTTTGGGGTTTATCCCCAGTAGTGGAATTGCTGGGTCAAATGGTATCTCTATTTGCAAATTTTTGAGAGAGCGCCATACTGCCTTCCACAGTGGTTGCACCAAAGAAATAACTCTTAATGATGGTTTTTAGTTACATATCTTGGAAGCATGCAGCACTTACATTATAGGACATTTATCTTAGAATTAAACCTTTAGGAATCATGTCTGCTATATTACTAACAGAAGATTTAGAAGACCTTGTCTTCAGCAAAATAACAAGTTAGACCCTGAAGACCTGAACCGTGCATCATTTGGTTTAATGACCAAAAGAGACTACTCTATATGGCCAGTCCATTTATGTGAAGTATATGTTTATCATACTAGGATTTCTGTCATTATCTACTAGTCATGGTGCTTCAGTAACATGCTATGCTTTGCTTTTGAAGGGAGGGGAGGAAAGGAAAAAGGAAGCAGAGGGATGATCACATTCTCAAAGGTTTAAAAACTTTCTTTTGGTGAGGTTTTAATTATGCTGCAGCTCTTTGGAAGATTTAAAATATTAGAACCTTAATAAGAACACTACCACAGTATTTTTCCCTTATGCATTTCAATTTAACATTCAAATATGACAAACAGGAATTTATTTTCATGGATGACAATGTAACTTTATTGTGTGTGGCAATTACTAGTTTTTCCATGTGAAGTAAGTTAGAATTTAAAATGATAAAAATTTTATTGATGTGATATGTGGATAATACAAAAAACTGAAGAGAGTTTTTTTTTTAAACTGGAAAACAAAACAGTCTGAATAAAAAACCAACAACCAATAAACCAATTAAAGGTGGCTAAGACCACAAAAATAGCTTTGGGACCAGAAGTGACATGGAATTAAGTGTGGGGAGGGAAGTGGGATTATGTGGACGGGGGCGGGTGGGGTAAGGGAAAGGCTGAACAAATTACCTCAGGAGAGAGAGTAGGATTTCATGTGAAAGTTTAAGGTATTTGCTCAGCAGTAATAATCTTAGACTTTCCTTCTGGGTCTCTAGAGAGCTTCATTTTTCCTGCTATTTATAATTTTATTACTTAGCTAAATAATTCTTAACTTATTATAGAATTAAGAATCAAAAATTTTAGAAAAATCAGAGTAGAATAAAAAAATTAAGTAGCATCAAAATCTGTATGGGTAGAATGATGCAAAAGTTCTACTTCTGCCTTTGGCCAGTAAAGTAACACCTCAGATACTGGGAGGCAACTGGAGGATCTCTGCAAAGTACATTCAAAGGTTTGCTGTTTGACTTAGTTTTTGGGTTATTCTGTTTTGGCTTCCTTTTTTTCTCCTAGAAGAAGAGTAAGTACTGTGATTTTACTGGTCTGTTGCAGAACTAAAACGGACCTGTAGTAAAAGGAGTTACAGAGTAATCCAAAGGTTCCAAAAAAAAAAAAAAAAAATCACCAGCCACACTGGCCCTCTTTCCCGTGGGTCTGTAGCAGCTGGCTTCAAATGTGACAGACCCACTCTTCATGTGGTTTCACAACTCTCTGTACTATCTATCAGCTTTACCTTTCTTCCTAGGGTGTTCTAAAATGTCATTTGTTACATACCTACCTAACAGGGTGAGGTGGGCAGTAAGAGGCTATCCCTCACTATTTAAAAAAAGAGCATAGAAAAATATCCTTGGACTTGCCATCATGCTTTAATCTGACAAATATTTCAAAGGGTGACACTCTAGTCCATGGCAGTGAGAATGGGCTAAACAGTACGAAGTACAAAACTTGCTATACATGTATGGTGAGTTCAGTTAAAACCTGTGATTATTCTCTGACTGGGCCATAGACAAACCAAAACAGGCACATAATTCAAGTGTGGCAGAAAGTTGGAAGTCATGAGGCCTGTTAGACAAAGATAAATGTACTACCGAGGAATATTCCTCTGGCTCAGAGAAACACAAGCAAAGAGGTCACAATGTACTGTGAGAAAGAAAATCAAAGCTGATGCAGGATCTAAGAAAAATACTTATAGAGGAATAGGTAGTGATTTGTTTATCAGTTAAGAAATCCCAAGTACAAAACTTTAAAATATAAGGAGGATCAAATTATATAATGCCTATGATTAAATTTAAAAATTCTTAGCCCTCTTAATTATATTATCTATATTATCAGAGTAAAAAAATCAAATTACATTTATATGAAACTTTTATAAATAGAAATCAAATCCACTGTTATGAAATTTTATAGTAAAATTATTTTCTAGTGTGTTTCTTTTTCCTTGGGTCACAGTATTTGGAATTCCATTTACATCTGTATAATTTCTAAAATTAAAAAACAAAACAAAGTCAATAGAAATGTAAATTTCCATTAGAAAAACTCCCTTCAGTTTCCAGGCCAGTAACACATGGCGATGTGGGCTTGTCCTCAGACATGGATGGTGACCAAAGCTCCCCAGTTCATGGAGCGTGCAGGCCTCTGCTCATTAGAAACGCTTTTTGGTTTGGCTCACGTTTCAAGAAATTCTGGAGCATGTCCATGCCGTCCAGAGATCCTCCAGGTTTCAGGATTAGGTTTCTGTATTTCATTCCAACCTAATAAAATAAAACATCATACCTAATAATTCATGGTTATACCATTTTTCCAAATGGCTAAATACAGAAAAATAAAGAGGTGGAATGAATTAAAAAAGAGGACTTCTTTTCACCCTGTCTGGAAGTTTTCCTTTACCTGGACTTGAGTGTGTAGTTTTATTCAATTATTTATTTTGGTAGCTAAGAGATTTCAAGCTTAAATTTCTTACGTCCTCTTAGATCTACTTAGATAGACAGTTGTGAGATGATAATCCAAGTAAATTGACAAACAAAACCTAACCAGAATGTTTAACATCTTCTTTTTCGTTTTTCCACCTCAAGTGCTATTTCATAGGGTTAACAAAAAGAATGTAGTACCTAGGGCTTCTGTAAACCTGTAAAGAGTGATAAGGTTACTGTGAAAATGGCTTCTATGTACAGACTGAAGGGAAAAAAATCCTTGGAAATAGCATATCCAAGAAGGGTCTTGTCTGTTGTTATGTACCGTCTAGTCATCTGTGACTCATAGTGACACCATTTATGTACAACAACCCTAAACCCTGCTCTATCCTGTGTCAATCTTACTGTCTCTGACACACCTACCCTATTATTACCCCAGTCACTGAATCAATCCATCCCATGACAGTCTTCCTCTCATGCAATGTCCATCTACTCTCCCAAGCATGATGTCTTTCTCCAAGGACAACATGTCCTCCTTGCAACATGTCCAAAGTATGTCAGATGAAGCTTCAGAATCCTTGCCTCCAAGGAACAGCCTGCTTTCACCCTCTCCAGGACGAACCTGTTTATTCTTCTAGCAGTCCACAGTATATTAAAAACTGTTCTCCAACACCACAGCTCAAAGGCATCAATCCTCCTGTCATCCTCAGTCATTGTCCAGCTTTCTGATGCATAGCAAGTAATTGCAAAGACTATGGCTGGATTTAGTCTCTAAACTTCAACAGCTCAATGATAAAAAGACAAACACAATCCCAAGTAAAAAAAAAATTAGTAAAGGACATAAAGACCCATTTCACCAAAGATAACATTCAAGCAGCCAGTCTACACATGAAAGGAAGCTGATATTAGATGTTAGATCTGTAAATCAAAACTATAATGATATGCCATCTCACCACAGCTAAAATGACACTAAGTGAAAGGAAAAGTACTAGACATATATAGTATGTTATGTGTCATTTAGTCACCTGTGATGTATAGCGACCCTATGTACAGCAGCTCTGAACCCTTCCCTGGCCTGAGCCAGTCACACTAATTCTGACACAAAAACCCCACTGCCCCAGTTACTGTATCAATCCATCTCATCTGAGGTTTCCTTCTCCTGTGCTGTCCGTCCACCCTTCTGAGCATGATGTCCTTCTCTAAGCACTAATCTCTCCTAGCCATGTGCCCAAAGGATGTGAGGCAGAATTTCAAACTCCAAGCCTCCAAGGAGAGACTTGGTTTCACCTTCTCCAAGACAGAGCCATTTGTTTTCTTGGCAGTCCATGGTATGTTCAAGACTCTTCTCCAGCACCACAACTTGAAGGCATCTATTCTGTCATTCTTAGTCATTGTCCAATTGAGAAGACCGTGGCCTGGATTAGGTGCACCTTTGTATCTAGACTGGCACTGCTACTCTTCAGCACTCTGGAGAGGTCCATGACAGGAGATTTTCCCAATGCATTTCGTCTTTTGATATCCTGACTTCTGGTGTTAAGAGTGATGATTGTGGTCTGAACAATTTGTAATTGCTAACAACCTCAATCTCTTCTCCACCTATTATGGTGCTGCCAATTGGCCCAGTGGTGAGAATCTTTGTCTTCTTGAAGTGGAGCTTCAATACATATTGAAGACTACAGTCATTGACCTTTTGCACAAAGTGCTTCAGGTCTTCTTCAGTTTCAGCAAGCAAGGTGTGTCATCTGCATATCAGGTTGTTAATGAATCTTTCTATAATCTTGATGCCACACTCCTCCTTATAAAGCCCTGTTTCCCAAATGCTCTGTTCTGCATTCAGATTGAAAAGGCATAGGGATAAGCTGCATCTCTGATGCACTCCCTTCCTGATTTTGAACCATGCAGTGTCTCCCTGCTCTGTTCTGAGGACTGCCTCTTGGTCCAAGTATAGGTTTCGTATAAGCATGATCTAGTGTTCTGGGATTCCCATTTTCCTCATAGCTAGTCATAATTTATTGTGATTCATGGTAAAATGCCTTTGCATAGTCAATGAAACACAGATAAGACATTCTTCTGGTATTGTCTGGTTTCTTCCAAGATCCATCTGACATTGGCCCTACTGCCACGACCTCTTCCAAACCCAGCTTTTATTTCTGGTAATTCTCTGTCAATGTACTGCTCAAGTTTTTTCTGGATAACTTTCAGCAGAATTTTGCTAGTGTGTGCTATCAGTAATATTGTTTGTTAATTTCCATACTCTGTCAGGGCACCTTTTTGGGGAATTGGAATAAATATGAATCTCTTCCAGTCAGTTTTCCAAGTAGTTGTCCTCCAGATTTCTTGGCACAACCTGGAGAGCACATGCAGGGTAGCATCACATCAATTGGTATTCCATCAATTCCTGGGGCTTTATTTTTTGCCAAGTTCTTCAAAGCAGCCTGAACCTCCTCCTTCATCACCACTGCCTCTTGATTATACGTTGTTTCTTGAAATTCTTCTGTGTCAGTCAATTCTTTTTTGTACAATGACTCTATATACTCCTTCCATCTTCTTTTAATGCTTCCTGAATCATTTAATATTCTGCCCATAGCAACCTTAAGCATTGCAGCTTGTGGCTTGAATGTATTCTTTAGTTCTTTCAGCTTAAGAAATGCTGAGGGAGTTCAGCCCTTTTGATTTTCTGACTCCAGCTCCTTGCACATCTCATTATAATATTTTGCCTTTTCATCCCAAACACCCCTTTGAAATCTTCTATTCAGCTCCTTAACTTTTTGATTTCTTCACTTTGCTTTGGCTTCTTGGTACTCTCTGAGGAGACTATAAAATGCTACAACTATTATGGAAAACAGTATGCCATTTCATAAGTAAATTTTAAAAATGGAAGTATCTTAATCATCTTTGAATTCTGTTCCCAGTTTTATACCCTAGCTATCTAATAAAAGAGACCAGAATATACAGGTACATATTTATGTTCCCGGCAACATGCACGCACACAATATTTGTTACTGCTGTTGTCAGGTGCCGAGGAGCAGAGTACGATTCATTTGCTGTTACGTGCCATTGAGGCAAATAACAGCAGATCTGAATCATCCCCTATCCTGTGACAACCTCACAATTTCTGACACACTCGAGCCCATTGTTGCAGTCACTGTGTTAACCCACCTGGTTGAGGGTCTTCATCTCCTTTTCCATCCCCTCACCTTCTAAGCACGAAGAAAAGTCTTTCTCCAAGGAACAGTCCCTCTTAACATGATGCCCAAAGTGTGCTAGACAAAGCTGCACTGTCCTTGCCTCCAAGGAGCACTCTGGCTGTACCTTTTCTAAGACACATCTGTTTGTTCTTTTGGTTGTCTATGGAATATTAAGTACTTGTCTCTAATACCACAGGTTCAAAGGCATCAATTTTTCTTCTGTTATTTACTGTCTAGTTCTCAGGAGCACAGCAAGTGCCTGAAAAGACCATAGTCTGAATCAGATGGACTTTAATCTTTAAATTAACATAATTGCTCCTCAATAACTTGGAGAGGTCCCTGACTGCAACCTTTTCCAGTACATTATGTCTCCTGATATCCTGACTGCTAAAACCAAGTGTATTGATTGTGGATCCAAGTAAGATGAAGTCATCGACTTCACTGTTTCAATCTTTTCTCCATCTATCATGATGCTTCCAGTTGGTCCAGTAGGTAAGATTATTTATTTTTCTTGACGTTGAGATGCAATCCATATTGAAGGCTGCAATGTTTGCTCTTCAGCAGCAAGTCCTCCTGACTTTAAGCAAGCAAGGTTGTATCATCTGCATAACACAAATTATTGATGAGTCTTCCTCCATTCCTGATGCCACATTGCTCTTCATAAAGTCCAGCTTCTCAAATAATTTGCTCAGCATACAGATTGTGTAGGTACAGAGGATACTGATGCACAGACTTATTGAAACCCTATAAATAATAGATCGGAACTTGGCCTGTTCCGTCTTCATCATCTCTGACATACTTAAGCCCATTGCTGTAAACACTGTCAATCCTTCTGAGTGAAGGTCTTCTCTTTTGCTGATCCTCCCCCTTTCCAAGCAGCACCTTTCCATGTATCTCTCAAAGGAATAGCCTCTCCTAGCAACATGCCTGCAGTAAATGAGATGAAGCTTTATCATCTCCTCCAAGGAGCACTCTGGCTGCACTTTCTCCAAGACATATCTATTTGTTCTTCTGGCAGTTCATGGGATATTCAAGGCTCTTTTCCAACACCACAACTAAAAGGTATTGATTCTTCTTCTGCCATCCTTACACATTGTTCAGCTCTTAGATGCATAGCAAGTGACTGAAAAGACATGTTGTTGTTGTTATGTGCGGTCGAGTCGCCTGCGACTCATAGCGACCCTATGTACAACAGCCCTAAACTCCGCTCTGTCCTGTGCCAATCGCACTGTCTCTGACACTCCCATCCCA